CCCAAAATCAGCCTCTGAAGTTGTAGGGCCCAGGCTTTGGGCCCCACAAGGAGCACCCAATCCCCACGAGGATGCGTTTTCCTTAAAACTGGGCCCCATGATGTGGGAAAAACAAGGAAACACACACACACACACACGCACACGCACACACATTTTTAACACACACATTTTTTCACACATGTTGTTTTTTTCTATCCTCATGGGGACTTTGCATTGAGTTCCATTAATTTTCCAGTAATTTCTACAGCCTAACCCCGGCCCTTTACCCTAAACCTAACCACCCCAATACATACCTGACCCTAAACATATACCAGGCTTTGGTCCCCACAAGGAAGTGTTTGTCTGGAAAATGGTCCCCATTATGTAGCAAATACACGTCCACACACATTTAGGTTTAGAAAGTTGACGGGCAGCAGAAATAAAATCAACAACAAAAAAGTTTCTGTCGATTCATAAAAAATATGTAAATGAAGTTAACTTATATTAACTCATAAATCATCATAGATCCTAAATGTTTGTTAATGTTTGTAAATCTAAAACAGCTGCAGTTTTACATTAAAAACACAAACACTAATTTTGTTTAATGGAACAAAAATAATAATAAATCTGTTCAAATTATTTCTGATCAATGAAAATTGCTGTTTAAATATCTGTAAAACAAATGTAATTCCTAATTTGTTTTCATTAAAATATTAGGTTTATACATACATTTTATTGATTTTCTAGTTATTTTGAAGTTTTAGTTTTCTTCTCATCTTTAAAATATTTTAAATGCTGTCAACTACAAAGGAAAGTATTCCATTCTAAAAAAGATTACTAAAGCTGTAATGTTCACTGGTTTGTTGAAGGTATGGAAAACAATATTTTACTAATTATTGTTTTGTTATAAGCACATTTATTATAGTTTTAAATATTTTGTAAATTATATTTAAAAAGATCAAAGTAAGTTCTTTCAGATGAAGTCAAGGCATAAAAGTTGTAAACATGTTTTTATTTATTTACTTAGTTTATTTCTATTAGTTTTAAATTATTTGTTAGATTTTGTTAAATATTGTTTTTGGGTATAATTCCTACGGCTTCAGATTTACTTTTAGAATAAAGAAAATGTGACCTTTGACCTTCAGGTATCGCCCACGGCCCAGTGATTGCAGGTGTGATCGGCGCCACCAAACCTCAGTACGATATCTGGGGCCTGTCGGTGAACATGGCGAGCCGGATGGAGAGCACCGGAGTCGAAGGGAGGGTCCAGGTGAGCTCACCTGTCGGTGGGAGGGGCTAATGTTGGCACGACGATACTAATCCTGTCTGTCCCTTCTCAGGTCCCAGAATCCACCAGCTGTATTCTAATGGAGCGAGGCTTCCTACGGCAGCTCAGAGGGGACATTTATGTCAAAGGGATCAGTGAGCGCCACGGCAAAGTCCGTACTTACTTCATGAGCAGTTGAGATGAGCGGTCCAGTTTCGTGGAGCGCAGCAGTGGGCGGGGATTCAGTCTGAACAGGAACACCCTGGGAGCAGTGGTCTACGGTCTTGTTCAGGCCAGGAAGAGGGAGAAGCTGAGAGAGGAGAACGGAGGCTTCCACCTGGTGGAGGCCACCTAGAAGAGCCAAGTCAGAAGCCAAAAAGCTAAAACACAAACGGCAGCACT